ACTATCCTCTCTCTTTTTTTTTCTCTTTCTCTCTCTTTGGAACAAGTCGACCCCTCGGTATCAAGTCAACCCTTTCAATGCAAAACGTCGTTTTGAGATTTAAGTTTTTTTTCTTTCTCGAGGGTTTCACTCACAAGTTAACAGACTCGTCTTTCCCCCCTACTACCTACCTCCTCCCCCTTTTTCCCCTTCCCCATCTTTACTGATAGAGGATATCTTTTTCAGTCTTACAATTCTCATAAGATTCTTCAAATTTTTTTTCTTTCATCGATAAATTGTAGAAGGGAGGGGGGAAGGACAAATAATTTTTATTTTTTGCTTTTTTTTTTGTAAAAGTACCAAATTTTGTTGTTAATATGAAAATTGAAATAAAATTGCCAGGAATTAATAAAAAAAAAAAAATGGTGACTGGGATCGAACCCCTCACTTTGGGGTTTATAAGTCAAACACTTTTCCGCGAAGCCAATTTTTTTTTTTTTTTTTACTTTAGGAGAACTTAAAATTTTAAATGAGTAAAATTAGTCAAAGAGGAATTGTTTAAATATAAAAAATTAATAATATTCTAAATAAATTAGATTTGTGAGCATTTAAATTACATTGTGTTTAAAATTTCTTAATTAATTAATTTATTCAAATATAAAACATAAAATTGAAAACGTCAAAAGCACTAACACAAATTGAATAAATAAAATTATTTTTATAATATAAATAAAAAAATAAGTAAAAAAATAGTAAAAATATAAATAATGTGAAGTGAAAAATAGAAAAAGTAATAAAATAAAATTACCAATTAAGTAAAGAATAAAAGAAATATGAATGAAATGAAGAAATTTTATATAAACGAAAAAATAGAGTAGTAATAAAATTTTATAAAAGTGAAATGTAAAGGAAATTAAATTTATAACATTTGAAGGAAATCAAATTTAAAAATTAATTGAAAGTCAAATAAAATATTTAGCGATGAATAGAGAAATTTTTTTTGAAAAATATGTTGTCATAATAAAAAATAATCAATAATCGTTAATTTAATTATTTCAATTAATTAAACTATAATTTTACGGAAAAAGCTTGAAAAAGAAAATTTACAATTTTCTACATAATTATTCCCTTTTTTTCTTGTTAACAAAAATGTTGAATTCTCAACTATTCTTAGTTTAATTCCCGCGGAAAATATTGACATTCTGTCAAAATTAAATATTCAAATTCTTTTGAAAATTAAGACTTTATTTAATAAAACGACCTCTTTATTGCATATATTAAATAATAATCTAAATATATATTTTAAGCAACAAACAGAAATTTAATTTTAAATTTTTTTAAGGGGATTTGAACCTTGATGACGTCACAGTTTGTGCAAAGCATTAGTTTTAAATCTGTGACGTCATCATGGTTCAAATGCCCTTAAATGATAAATTAAGAAATACTGTGACAATTATTTTACAGGAAGTTATTCAAAAAATTTTCACGTCAAATATTTTACTGTCTTAATTAAAATATGTCTGCAATTCTTTTTATTTTGGAAAAGAAAGGAATAAAATTCAACGAGTTTTAAGCATAAAAGGGGGCGGAGATTAAAAAATGAAATTCAATTTTATCATTTAAATATAAACTAATTAAATATTTATTACTTTTAATAATATTATTTTTGAGTTATTTACAAATAACAAAATATTAAATAATATATAATATATAATTAATAATAATATTATTAAACTACATTTTATTATTATTTCTATATTATTAATAATTAAATTTTTATTTTAAAATGTAATTTCTATTTTTTTTTTTTTTGCAAAATTAAAAACATAAAATTTAAATATTATTTTTTCTATTTTGTTGTATATTTATTATTTTTAATATATTATTTATTTTTCAAAATTTATTTTTCAATAAAAAATTAAATTAATTTTATTTTATATCATAACGACTGTTTACTAAATCAAAAAATTTTAATTATTTAATTACTTTTAAATTATGTATATTTTTTAATAATTAAATTAATTAAATAATGTTATTTTTTACATAAATAAATAAATAATAAGTAAATAGTAATAAATAATAATATTATTAGAAAGTAAGATGTAATAAAAAAAAATTTAATTATGCAAATGAATAAATAATTAAATGTTTAAAATAATATTTCCAATAAAAAAAATAATAATAATAAAATTTAAATAATTTTATTTTATTTATTTATTGAATAAAAAAAAAATAAAATGAATATTATTATCTGAATAAGTGAATAATAAAATTTTTTAAATTAACATTAAAAAATTAATTGTTTTTAAAAATAATAATAATAAAATAATAAAAAATTGAAAAAACAATCAAAAATATTTTTTTTTTTTACCATTGAGAAAAGAAAATTCTCTTTGACTTATATATATATTTAGATATTTAGATGTGTGTCAAAGTTACGTTGACTGCATACAGTTTCGAAGAGAATAATTTGTGTGCAACGATAAATAACTCGAAGCTTAAGGCAGTGGCGTCATCATGCGGATGTTCACTAAAGCTCTTGGCTTTGAAACAGAACCCAATGGATTTGTCAGAGAATCACATTTTCTCCTCTCTTTAAAACATTTTCCGCATGAAAAAATCATGAAATAAATTAATTATTAAGAAAAAAATTTTTTCAATTAATAAAAAGGAAGGAAAAAATTTCTTTTTTTTTAAATTAAAAAAGGAAGGGAAAAAATATTTTTTTAAATTAATTAATTTTTCTTTATTTAAAAGAAAATTACGCGCAAATAAAAATTTTTTTTTTATATTTTAAACAAAATACGAAACTACAATAATTTTATTGGAATATTATTTTTTACTTTTTTATGATTTTTTTTCAAGTTAATAAACTTGAAAATAAAATTGTAAAAAAGTAAAAAATAAAACAATAGTTTCATTTTTCTAATTTTCTATTTTTATTATTATTATTAACTTTTTTTTTAATTTCTCTTTTTCATTTATATATTTATTTACTTTATTAACAGGACAATATTATTATTAACTATTTTTGTTATTTTCGCTTTATTTATTTTATTTTAATTTATCATTGATTTATTTTACTTTATTTGTTTATATTCTAATTTGTTTTGCTTATTTATTATTTATGTACAGTTTACTTATTATTTACTTATTTTTTTATTAATTTTATATTCAAGTTTTAGTTTTTATTAATTTATTTTCTTTTATTTATTCTTTATGTGATTTTATTTATTTATTTATTATTATTTTGTTTAACGATTTTGTTGCTAATAAATTATATTGATAATAAATTTATAAATATATTCTGCTTTATTTATTTATTTTCTAATTAGTTTAATTAATTTCCTGTTTATATAGATTTTACTAATTATTTTATTTTTTTATTAATTTCACTTTACATTTTAGTTTTTATTAATTTAATAAAACTTTAAACATCCACTTTTTTCTATTAATATATTTTGCTTTATTTATTTTCTTTATACTTATTGTAACTTTATTTATAAACTTTTTTATTTTCCATTTTTTTTATTTAGTTTTGTTTATTTATCGTCTACTTTCTTTTTACTTATTTTAACATTAATAATTACTTTTTAATTAATTTCATTTTTATTATTAATTTATTAGTTTAGTTAATTATTAAATTTTTTACTTTGTTTCATTTATTTATTGTTACTTGGTTTATCAATTTTGTTTCATTTACAATTCGTTAATTTTTTTTTATTTTGTTTATTCATTTATTTATTGTTTACATCCTTTTTATTTATTTAATGTTTTTCTTATTGTTTACTTCCTTTTTATTCATTACTTATTAATTATTTATTTTCCATCAATTGCATTTTAATTTTTAATTTTAATATCTCCCTGCTTACAACTTTGTTTATTTTGTTTTACATATTTATTGTTCATTTATTATTCCTTAATTGTTTATTTATGAAATTTACCCATTTAATATCAATTTACTTATTATTTTTTTAATCTACAATTATTCAATTTAGATTTTCAATAAAAAAAAAGTCCTTTGAAGTGAATAAATATATTAAGAACTGCTAGAGTTAGAGTGGATTTAAATACAAAGCGTCGGTTCGGCCCTTATGGGAAGAGTGGGGGGTGACGCTCGGCCGAACGCAGGAGCGTTAACTTTAAATTTCTTCTAATTCGGACAATTATTAATATTTAAAGACGGTGTAAAATAATATTCTTTGCAGAATTACTACAAAAAATATATTTATTTATTTTAATGTATTTATAAATAAATAAATAATTAAAATTTATTTATTTACTTATAAAATTTATAAACTTAATAAAATTATTATTTATCTTTTTTTTATGATTAGAAAAAAATTTTTCTTCTTTCTTCTTTTTATTATTATTTCTGAGTTGGACATAAGAAAAATAAAATTGAAGGGCGGTTATAACAAGAGGGTGTGTGGGTGGAGGAGAGGGGGGGAGGGTTTCAGGAGTAAATGTCGGTAATGACGTCTCGTAATTACATCGAAAGTTCACAGGGAACTGTAATTATCGTAGAAGCGTGCGCCTTGAAATACCTTTCGGCACAGAGCAATCGACGGAATACTAACGATGTCGACAGCAACGCAAAACCCTCTTGGTAATTACTTGAGTCGTTAATCGACGCAATAATGTGTGCGAGAGAATCCAAAGTAATAGTGGGGAGGGGGGTGGGGTGGGGTCAAAGATAGGGGGAGACTCTATTATTGCAATTAACGTTTAACATTTTTTTTAAGAATTAAAAAAATATATTTTTATGAAAAAAAAATTTTTGAAAAAAAATTTTATTAAAAATTTTTTTAACTAATATTATTAATTATTAATTAATTATAATTTTTTGTTAATAATTATGGTAAGAAATATTTTTTACAACTAGAGAGAAATAGTTAAAAAGTAATTGTCCTAGGGGAAAAAATAATCGACTTTAGTGGGAATCGAACCCTGGTCGACTTTTTAGAAATCAAGCACCTTAACCGCAAGACCAATATTCATTTTTTTAATTAGAAACTCACCCCTTTGAAGGTCATGATGTTATGAAGCGCGTTCTGGGCTCCCAAGGCAGCTTTTCTGGTAAAAAACGTAACAAAGCAGCAACCTGAAACAGAAAATCCATAATTTAAATTAAATTAATAATTAAAATAGAATTTTAAAAAAAGTATTTTACAAATAATAATTTAAAATTTTCTTCGAGGATTTTTATATAAAAAAAAACCAAAATAATACAAATAAAATAATAAATAATAAAAAATAACAAATAATAATAATAACAAAAAATAATAACAAAAGAAAATAATAATAAGAAAAATAGTAATAATTAAATTATAGTAAATTTATAAGTTTAAATTATTATTAATTAACTACCACTATTAATTATTATTTTTTAATAATTAATTAATAAAAAAAAAAAATTTGGGAAAAATAAACGATGAAAAAAAAATTCTCCAGCTTGAAATACTTTTCCAATTTTATTTTTTGAGGGAAAATTAGCAGAATAATTAATTTAGTTTATAAACAAGAAAAAAATTTTTTGGTTATTTCATTATTTAAAGTGAAAAAAAATTTTTTTTTTATGTTCCAAATTTACGAGTGACATGTGCATTAATGTACTTCTCCTCATAAGTGACAGAAAGACAAACGACTTGGGAATGTCGCCAAAAATCTTTCCTGGCAACAACAATGGCACTAGCAAAATTCTTAGAAAGTGAGACAAAAAAGAAGAAGAAGAATAGAATTCATCAATATTATTTTATTACCACATTTCCCTCTCAACACATCAACACTTGTGATTATAAATTTTTCTGCCTTCAATTTTCTTCATTTTAATATGTGAAGAAAAATCATTATTACCAAAAAAGAGAGTTAATTCTAAATTTTTATTTTTTGGTATTTTCTGTCAAAAAAAAAAAGAAAAATAATATTCATAATAAAAATAATAAATATTATTATTATTATGATAATATTAAATATTAAAAGTAATAACATTAAATAAATGTTTAGCGTTAAATTTTAAGCAAAAAAGTCTTTTAGAGTAAATAAAAATATTAAGAAATCTTCGAGTTAAAGGGAACTTAAATCGACGAGTCGGTTCAGCCGATGTAGCAAGAGTGGGGGTAACGCTCTGCCAGCCGCAAGGATGTAAAACTTTTTTTCCTTCTAATTCGATCAATTATTAATATTTAAAGTCAGTGTAAAAGATTTGTTGTGATTTTTTTAATACAAGTTTTCTTTTACGACAAATTATTATTATTATTATTATTATTATTATTATTATTATTATTATTATTTGGCGTTAAATTTAGAAAAGAAAAACTCTTTTGAAGTTAATAAAAATATTAAGAACTTTTCGAGTTAGAGCAATTTTAAATTGCATCCTTAGTTCGGTCAGTGTTTCAGGAGTGGGGGGTAACGCTCGGCTGACCGCAAGTCTGTTTAACTTCAATTTTCTCTAAATCGGATAATTATGAATATTTTAAAACTGTAAAAGAACATTTTTTGCAGAATTACTTCAAAAATTATATTTTTACTAAATTATCATTAAAAAGCAAGAAATAAAATTATTTTAATAATTTTAAAGTAATTAATTAACAACTAAATACTAAATTAACTAAATAAAAATACTGAAAGTTACAAAAATTTCTAAAATAATAAAAAGGGGATTAATTCTAATTGATCAAAATAAGAGAAAACATTTAACAACTGTCGAATTGTAGAATTTCGTTGAGAAAATGAAAAAAGGACAAGAAGGGAAATAGAAGTGGAGAGGGAAAAAAATTGTAGTTTCGAATGTTTTATTCAGTGTTGGATTTACGAGGAAAAAAAATTCTTTTGCAGTGAATAAAAATATTAAGAACTCTTCCATTTAGGTGTTTTTTTAAGTCGTACCATTTGTTCGGCCAGCGAGAGAGGAGTGGGGGTAACGCTCAGCCGATAGCAGAAAGAAATTTAAACAGAAGTTTGAAACAAATTAATACTAATTGATAAGGAGGAGCGAAATAATTTTGCAACTATAAAATTACAGAATTTTGTTCGGAAAAAAGAGGAGCGGGGGGGGGGGGTGAAAACGAAGGGGAGGGGTCGAAGGTTTTATTCAGTGTTAGATTTGCGAGAAAAAGAATTGCTTTTGGAGCGAATAAAAATATTAATAACTCTTCGAGTCAGAGTGATTTTAAATCAAGGTGTTGGTTCGGCTAGTGCGTCAAGAGTGGGGGTAACGCTTGGCCCACCGCAGGAGCGATCAACTTTAATTCTCTCTAATTTGTACAATTATTAATATTTTTCAATGGTGTAAAAGAATTTTCTCTGCAAAATTCTTCGAAAAATTATATTTTTACCAAAGAATTACTAAAGGACAAAAATTAAAAGTATAATATAAATTTTAAAATTATTATCTAACAAAATTAAAATAATTAAAATTGAAAAAAGTGGAAAGGAGATTAATACTAATTGGTAGAAATGAGAGGAATAATGTTGCAACGCTAGTATTACAGAATTTCAGTAGGGGGTAACATGAGAATGGTGGGCGAGGAAGGGAAAGCGGAGGGAAGTTTGGGGGATAGGGTGGGGGTGTAGGGGGTGAGAGAGGAAATTGCGGTTTCGAGGGTTGAAAAGGGACACGTGATATGCGCGTTGTACTCAGAGTAGGAAACAGCAATGCAACCATGTCGAACATAAAGACATATCGTTGTTGGCCGATCGTTGCCTTGGTACATGTATAACACACTTATCCCGCGGGTCTGCGGCTAATACACCGGCCGATGCGTGATTAGAGTCCGCGGGGAAATCTAAACTGGACATGCCTCCCGGCTAGTGAAAATCCACCATTCTACCAACTCAACCTTTTTTCACCCTCCCCCCCTCTTCCCCTCCCACTTTTTCTATTCTTGCAAAAAGAAAAAAAAAGAACACTCTTTCAACTCGAAACCGATTTCTTACCGTAAAATTGGATTTTTTTATTTTAGAAAATCATCACAGTCTCAAGATGCTTTATTGCCGAGGGAAATCAGTGGAAAACAATTTTTTTTCCAACGACGTTGATTGACTTCGCGTGACTTGAATATAGACAGAATTTTTTTTTTCGTTTGCTTCTATTATTTGACAATTTTTTTTTGCTTTCATTCTTGAAATGTTACAAAGTGATTTTTTGATGAAAAAAAGGGGGGGGGGGTGATAAGAATTTGATTGGTGTTAAGTTTTAGAGAGAAAAAGCCTTTTGCTGTAAGTAAAAATGTTGAGAACTTTTCGATTTAGAGTAATTTTAAATCAAATTGACGGTTCGGCCGAAGGCGTTTAAACTGAGGCAATTATTTGGTTGAGAATTTTTTTGGTAAATTTTCATCGGAGTATAATTTTGAAGAGAAAAAGTCCTCAAGAGTGAATAAAAAGATCGAGTACTTTTCGAGTTAGAGGCATTTTAAATCAAATTGACAGTTCGGCCGAGGCGTTTAAATTGGATTAATTAACGCTGGGCGGAAAGAATTTCTCTGCTGCTACATTCTATGAAATAACAGTTGTTTTCGAGAAATGGAAAGACGAAGTATTTTTCGATTAGAAAATATTTTAAATCTAACTGAAGGTTCGGCTAGTGCGTCAGGAGTGGGGGAAGCACTCCCCTGGAAACTCAGAGAATAAAATTCTTTACACCAAATAAAAACATGACGTACTTCTCCAGTTGTGACGATTTTAAATTGAAACGACTGTTCGGCCCGCAGGGAAAGAGTTGGGAAACGATCGGCTAGCCGCACACCGGCCAAACTTAAAAACCCTCTAGTTCACTCAATTTTCGCAATTTGAAAATGGGACTAAAGGAACTTTTACTAAAAATTCATTGGAGAATAAAATAAAATTAAAAAAAATAAAATTGAAAAAAAAATTTATTTTTTTTCCTCTTTAGAAAAAACTCTAAATAAAAAGAGCCTTGTCCACAATTTCCCTGAACACAAGTGTCGCTATTTTTAGAAAGTCTGGGAAAAATTTTAATAATCGTCCCTCGGGTATCAGAGGCACGAAATCCGGAGGAAACAAATATCAATGTTGAGGGAGAAAGCTGACTGGTTGTAATTCACCGATTCAGCTAAATCTCCCCTTTTCTTTGGGATTTCAGACAGGGGAAAGGGCGAACTTCTGTGTTGGCAATATCGGCGGATACGGAAGTGTGACGGAGATGCTTCGTCCGGAAATGAGAGAGAAAGAGAGAATCTGTTCCTCCGGACGGATAAGATCGACAATTCACTCTGATAACTTCATCTCCATTTTCTCTTGATCGGAAAATAAGGTATAAAAATTGAGAAATTTAATTTAAAAATTTTCTTTCTTTGCCATACTTGTAGATTTTGTAATTTTGAACATGAAACTGAAAACGAAAATTAATTATTTTTATTTTTATAGATTTTGTGAGTATTTTAAGTTTGGGAAAATGTTGCGGCCGAATTGGAGTGGGGGGAGAGTGGAAATGAAAAGAGGAGAGAATTTCGTCTCGGCTTTCCCTTTTGCCTTTTTTTTATGGAGGGGGGAGACTTTTTTCTGACTCAAAAGAAGAATTAATCGGTTCCAGTGCCGAGAGTGGGGGAAACGCTTCTTTGTCCGAACAATAAAAATGCTCCCAAATGAACAAAAATTGTTAAATCTGAATGTTCCAAAAGGTAAAATCGTATGGGACTATTTTCTCCTTCTTTCTGTCAAATTTTCGGGAAAAACCTCTGGCCCAAATGCCAAGAGTGGGGGAAACGCTTCTTGGGCCGAACAACGCCCGACATAAAAAACGCTCTAGAATCAACAAAAATGAATATTTTTCAATTCTTCAAAAACCAAATTTGTTTAGAATCATCTTCTTCACCTTTTTCTACTTTTCTTTTTTTTTTCCTCCTATATTTTATTCAAAAAAATGAAAAAACATTCTTTTAACAAAATCAATTTTGTTTTTTTGCTTTGGGGCGAGAGAGAATGAGTAAGGAAGAACAAGAGAGAGAAAGAAAGCGAGGGAGAGAGAATTTGCTTTAGAAATTCCACTGGCGTTGGCGTTTCGAAATAAGAAGAATCAGATCGAAACTTACGCCGGAAGCGCAAACCGTTCCAGCAGTATCGATTCGAGGCCAGTTT